TTATATCGCAGAAGACATACGCGGAATCAATAGTAAAGCAATTCGGAATGTTAGAGTGTAATCCTTCGAAAACACTAATATAAGTGAATTGCAAACTTACCATTTCTACAACAAAAAATGAGGCGATTATGGCAAAATATCCATACCAACGCTTAATCGGCGCTTTAATGTATTTAGCGATATCTACAAGACCAGATATAGCCTATTAGCCTATGTTGTAAATTTTATGAGTCAATTTAACAGCAACTACACTGAAGAGCATTGGAAGTCAGCAAAAAGAATTTTACGTTACGTCAAGGGCACAGCACAACAGGGTTTGCTGTATAAGAAGACAGGTGCAGATTTGTATGGTGTAGTCGATGCTGATTGGGGAGCAAATTCAACAGACAGACGATCGTATTCAGGTTTTGCATTTATATATACTGGGTGATCTATAAGTTGGGAAGCACGGAAGCAACGTACTGTTTCGCTTTCCAGTACTGAGTCAGAGTACATCGCCATAACTGAGGCGGCTAAGGAAGCCCTCTATTTAAAAGGCGCTTTGAACGAGGTGGGAATTGAGTGTGCCAGCGTAAAGTTATTCAACGATAACCAGAGTGCACAAAAGTTAGCAATATCTTCAAAATTGCACCTTCGGGCGAAACATATTGATGTACGGCATCATTTTATCCGAGACTGCGTACGAGATAAGGCAATTACACTAGAGTATATGTCAACACAGAAAATGCCAGCGGACATATTAACCAAGGGTCTTACGGAACTGAAGCATAGTAATTGTACATCAAGTTTGGGCCTTATCGAATGCAATCAAGAAGAAGAATAAGTTGTGGAGACGAAGTAGTTCGTAGTAAATAATATTAAATGAATATGTACTTTAAATTACAATTCTGTACCTCTTGCAACTCTGTATTCCTTTTCTATTTTCTCTTTTGTTATATTCTTTTATAAACTGTAAAGACATGTTTATCCATATTGAATAAATTCAGTCGTTATTTAACCTTAAACCTTCTCGGACCAAACCGTTTTTGTTTTATTTAAAAAAAAAACTTTTGTAGCACTCTTATTGAGAAACCCGTCAAATTTGTTCTCTTGTAAATAAATAAATAAATAATTATAATACTGTTACAATTTTAATGCGCATCACTGTAATTCGCAAAATGTTCACGCAGATAGAGCCATTTCGCTATTTTAACAGTGGTGAATAACTGGTTTTTAGACAATAGTCGGCAATGACAACAAATTTTGGCAATACTCAACAACAATAACATTGTCATTCGTACGACTGTAGTTTCGATACAAAAAACGTAAAAAATAAATTAAAAAGCCGATTATTAGCTGGGTGAATCCCAAAACGAATTTATCACAAAACAAAATTACTAATAATTAGTTACGCGAGTGGAATTCAAATTAAAGCTTTGTAGTTTCACTATGATGATTGATCTTTATTTAAATTGGAGCTATATGCTGTATTGAACCGATATCGGCGATTTTACTAAATTAGAAACTTTGTGGTTAGACAAGGTATAGTGCAAAGCTCCGAGGTTTCGGTCTTCCACGAAAGTTTTGAGGAAACTCGGAGAAGTTTAAAAGTGTTTCAGCGAACTTAAGCTTAGCTAGAGGTCGTCAGAGTGGAATTATTTCGAGAATAACTCCACCAATGCTTTCAAGTTTCGAATGTATTTATCTCTATTAATATATATTCACCAACGCTGTCACCTAAATGCCATATTAACTTATGAAAAACTCACCTGGGCTTCCTCAGTTTTAGGAATGATACCACGCAGCGGTTCACAATCGCTCTCGTTGTAGTGATAAACGGCCACACAAGTTTGATACAGTTCCTGATTGAGCATGACCGAACCGGATAACAAAAACGCGAGAAACAATAAAAATACCGGCAGTTCTAAGGACATAATTCGTCTGCGCGGCATACGTCTCGTTTGTGGCGTAAGCGGTTCGGTGGACGCGAATTCACCTGCTCGCAAGCCATCCGCGCTGGTGGTTGGCATATATGCAGGTGTTCTGAACTGGCCTTCTGCATCGTAAGTCTCCTGGTCGAATGATATATCGGTGCTAGCAGACGGCGGTGTCTCTGGTGTGGTTCTGTCGTCGTGCTTGGTCATTTTTTTTGTCGTCAAATATTTTTCTATTTAAGTTTATTATATTATATTTGGAAAACAGTTCATTTAAGGGAAAGTTGAAATTTACACTATTTAATCTTGTTTAAGAGGCCAATTGAGCTTCGTATGAGTGTTTTTATTAAATTATTATCTTTCTTTCTTTGTCTACACATAAAATTTATTATTTCGTGCAAAGATAAACAAAATTTTACACATTTATGCTTTTTGTTGTTGTTTTTTATGTGCGCTCGCTTAAGCACTTCGCGTTKCGTCGTTAGACATGTGTTAGCGATCAGCTGTTAAATACTACTGACTAACTTGTTTACTATGTTGAGGCTTCGAAGCTCTCTAGCTTGCTGGAGGGGCATGTTATGGGCTGGCAATCTAAGGCGCGATAATCAAGTAATTGTGCGTGTTGATATAAATGCATGTGTAGGCGTATATATGTATGTATGTATTTTTGCGAAACAGTTTTTAATCCGAAATTGATTTTTTTTCTTGGTCTTTTTGATTTTTTTGGTCTTCTGCTAAAGATTAGCAGTTCTTTATTTTTTTTTCTTCTGCTATTGTTCTCGTATTATGGTATGAAACCTTAACAAACATCTGTGTTTCTATTTTGCAACTTATGATTTTATGATTATGATTATGATCTTATGTGATCCATTTCAAGGTTCACTACTTGTTTAAATCATCCCTTGAGTAAAATTTTTCATGACTCGTTCGAACATTTCGACTGGTAAGTGGCGAATGACACATTTGATGTCTTGCTCCAAGGCCTGAATCGAAGTGGGATGTCTGTATACACTTTAAACTTTACATATCCCCACGGGAAAAGTCTAACGGCGTGATATAACACGATCTTGGGGGCCAATTGATCGGCCCAAAACGTGAAATTATCTGCTCACCAAAGTGTTCTCCCAATAAATGCATTAATTGGAGCGATTTGTGAAAAAAGGTCGCCCCCTTGTTAAAACCAAATGTCGCCGAGATCACGAGCTTCAATTGCAGACATCAAATAGTCGATTATCATGGCGGTCGCCATTGCCGGTTACCTTCAATCCGGCATAGTTTTTGAAGAAATATGGACTGATGATTCTACCCGCCTACAAACTATTCCAAACTGGATGAAATGACAGATCTTAAATCTTTTCAGGTAGCTCTTCGTCAGTTTTGCTTGTTTAAATATCCATTGGAGCGCTGAACAAATTTTGGCTAGAAAACGTCTGATCTTTTCGGAAGTAGTAGAGCGAATATGTTGATCATAAGTTGAGCGAAGCGCGCGAAATACATTCTTTAAGAAACGTGAATTTTCATAATAAAGTTGAACGATTTGTAAACGTTGTTCAGCGTAAGTCTTTCCATGATGAATTACCAAATAATACTGTATAAAAATAATGACAGCTTGACGCGGCTCACGCGTTATCTATCAAAAAAATGCTATCGGAAAAAGTAACTCTACCTGGATCATCCGTTATAATGAACATTTTGATGAAGTAAACTGTAGCGGTAGAAATACCAAAATCCTTTAATCTGTAAAATCACACGAATTTTCTGTAGCTAAATACCGCAAGAAATCGTTTCCGCGCTACTAGATACGTTCTAATGTATTTCCCCGAAATCAATTCAATCAACCAACCGGCAAACAATTTTTATGATCACTTATTCTAAACTTAATCACCCTTCATTTGATAGTTAATTTAATGGCAATGTACATTAAAATTTTGTGAATTCAGCTCGTTCATAGTGAAATAAGGAGCATACCCAGTAATTGTCACTGAAACTGTTTCTTTGTGATTTATATTGTGCAAAGTTGTGTATTTAGAACGATTAAGAAAGCAATTTTTGGGATACGATGTTTTTGTTATTGTTTAATGTATTTTTTTTTTTAATAATTCCTGCTCATATTTTCGGGTCTGAATTAAATCTGTTTTTCAAAGTATCATTATAATAATTTATTTTATATTATAACTTTAATAGCACGAGTTCTTGTAATCAACGTGGTTTGTCAAAGCCTTCTTGAAAAATGTTAAAGCGAAGATTTGTCCAGTAGACGCCAAATTTACGATATGAATAAGATTAAGATATTAAATTTCAGGCGTCGATCGCCTTTGACGGTTACGTTCTCACCAGCATTCATGTTTGAAGAAATATAGACCTATGATTACACCGACCCACAAACCATGCCAAACCGTTATTTTTTCTGGATGAAATGGCAGCCCTTGAATCTCTTCAGGTTGTTCTTCGTTTCAAATGCGCTCCTTGAGCCAGAAATGGTTCTTATCGCTGAAAAAAAAGGTGAAAATTATGTGGTGTGTACGAAGAAGATTTGTTAGCGGATCGCAATTTGCATGGAATTATGGAACGAATCTTTAATCCGATGTGAATAAAATAAAGTCTGTGTTCGCTGGAAGGAGTTTTGAAGCCGATATAAATAAAATAATTGAGATTGCTTAAAAATTGCCGTTCACAAGCATAAGCAAGAAAAATGTTCTTATTGACCATGAGGAGTGTGCCATCGTGGTTTGAAAACGATGATTCAGTTCAAATCTTTGACGGCTGATAGTCACCAAAAAAGAGGTTATGTTACCTGTTTGCTGGGATTTCAAAGGGATCATTTATTTTGAGCTTTTGACTGACAATGTTACGTTATTTCTGAAGTATGTATGTATATTGTGATCAATTGGATCAATTTCTTACCCGAAAGATGTCTAAAGGTATTAGATCAAAATGGAAAATATATAATTTCATCAAATGTTTTACACAATGAAAAATAATGAACCCAAACAACACAATAAGTAAAATCTTCAGTTCAATACAAAAATAATTATTTTGTTTAGTTTTAATTTTTATTTATTTACAATATTATTCTGTGGTCTAAGGAATATGGGATCTGAAATGTCTGGCCTTTTTCTAATGAATGTATTTTAAAATGTATGGCAATCACACTTAATTCACATTTATCAACACCTCAATTTCATTTGCAAAGACAATTTTAAATTAAGGTACGTGTACAGTGCTGTTTACAAATATAGCAGCGTTTTCTCGGCATTGAAAATTTTAAAATAACTTATATTGTAGATCTCATATATGTAAATATAACATTTGTATTCATGACGGTAAATAATTGTACTGACATATTCTTTTTCAATTTTCTTGAGGAGAGGAACTCCTCTGTCAACATTTTCTTATATAAAATACTGTATGTGTGCTCAAAAATAGTTTAGTATTGATGATACAAATTTGAAATTAAAAACTAACAAGCTTTTTCTTTAAAACTAACTTATCGTATTTATTTGACTAATTTACTATTGTTTTTGTAATAACAACTTAGCATAAGTTAGTATTTTTATGTTTCAAGATTTGACGGAAGCTTCTCTCTTTGAACTTTTTCTGTTTGAGGCTTTTCGGTTTGAGGTTTTTTCTCTTCCCCATTTTCAGCATCTGCTTTGCCCTTTTTGGCAGCAACTCGTCGTTCATAATTACTTATCACACTATTATATATAAAGATAAGAAAAAATTTGATATTAGGATAGATCAAAGTTGTTTATAGCAGTTGAGGGTTATATTTAGATAATGTTTGGTACTGATAATTCCGTTAAGGGTAATTGAAAAAAGTCTACATTTCTTGTTTCATAAATAGATAGTTTAGATATTTATAAATTTCGACCTAAAAGGATTTTTCAAAATTCCATTTATTTTCAAGGTTGTAGGCATTTTGGTAGGAGTACGAAGGGTTAGGTTTCAACTTAAAATGTCAAACGCATTTCCCCCCAAAATACCTTTTTGATGCGATAGTCACGATACCTCAAGTTCCAACCTGTCGCCTTACTTGGATTCATTCCTAAGAATTAAATATCTCTCTAAGGTATGAACAAAAAAAAACTTAAAATTCTAATACGCAATGTTTTTGAAAAACGCGAGAAAGTTATAAAAGAAATTACTTTTTGCTTAGTTTCTCATCCTATTGTGTTCCGATATCGACGGTTCTCACGAATGAGCCGCTTTTTTTTTTAGGAAAAAGGATCTGTGGAAGATTTCAAATCGATATCTCAAAAACTGTGGGACGGACGGATAGACGATCATGGCTAAATCAACATTGCTCATTGCACTGATCATTTATATACATATAGAACACTGGGTGTTACGAACTTCGAGGCAAACTTGATATAACCTGTTATAATTTGAAAAGCACCACGTGTTGAATGTAGTATTAAAGGGTGATTAATTTCGAGGTTCCCTACTTTTTTGCAGAAACAACACACATGCTTCAAATTTAATGGGACCTATTAATTAGCATTCGGAAGAACGATCCTTTTAAATGTTGTCCGCGGTTACGGCTTAGATAGTCCATACATTCACTGCAATTTTCGATGGCTGGTTTGAGCATTTGGACTGGTAACTGCGAATGTCACGCATATACTTAGGCCTTACATATCCTCACAGGAAAAGTGTAATGGGCACACGATCTTGGTGGCCAATCGGCCGGCCCTAAATGTGAAATCTGCTTACCGAAGTGTTCGCTCAATAAATCTATTAACTGATGCGATGTGTGAAAAAGGTCGCCGTTTTGTTAAAACCAAATGTCGCCGAGATCCCGAGCTTCCTTTTCAGATATCAAAAAGTTGACGGTTACGTTTTCACCGCTAACATCGGTGAAGAAATATGCGCTGATGATTAAACCGATCCACAAACCACACCAAATCGTTGTATTTTTTTTTTTTTCTAAATTAAATGAAAGCTCTTGAATCTCTTCAGGTTATTCTTCGTCCTAAATGCGGCCATTGAGCCAGAAATGGGTCTCATTGTTGAAAATAATTTGGTACGAAAATATCGGAGCTTTTCAAGAGTCCATTTTTATGATCGAGCGGCTTTAGTTCTTGCACAAGCTGTATTTTGTACGTTTTCAATTTAAGATCTCGACGTAAAATGTGCCAAGTCGATCTATACGTCAGTCCGAGTTGCTGCGAAAAGTCGCATCCACGGTCTTCGCTTTGCGGCTATGGCTGCTATATTTTCTTCACTGCGTGATGGACGTGGTCTATTCGTTTGAATATTATCCCACAATGAATGCTGGATCTTAAGATGAGAGATGATGGTATTTGCGAAAACCCGCTCAGTAGGGTGATTATGCTGAGCGAAGCACGCGAAACACATACTTTACAGAACGTAAATTTTCGTAATGAAGTTGAACGTTTTGTTAACATAGTTTAGGCGTAAGCCCTTCCATTATGAAACGCCAAACAATTCTGAACAAAAATAATATGATAGCTTGGCACGACTAATGCGTGATCTGTCAAAATAAGGCTATTCACAAAAGTACCTCTACTTGAATCACCCGTTAAGTGCAAAAAAAAAAAAAAATCCAAAAATGTTTTCAAGGATCAAAATCAATCTCGCTTACATAAGAATCCAAATATTATATAAAGTTTAGCTCTTTTAAGCAATATTTAAGCTTTCTTACTCACATCAATACTATGAAACACTCCACCATAAGTCCAGCGCTAATGAAGTTATAAAAACCAGGGTAAAAAGTCAGCGTACGATTGTATACGTATGTGTACAATGGAGCAGAAATGAGCGGTGAGAGCGTTTTGAAGCAAGATGCCAGCGCATAAACTTTACCAAGTTCATTTGGTGGCACGGCAAGTGCAACGATCGCTTGCAACATAGGTCCCGTTATACCCGATATAATTCCGAATGACGAGACCATATACATATGCCAGAAACGCTGCGCCAAACCACGACCTAAATGATCTAGAATAGAGCCAACCAAACCGATCATAGCAACGACGGCAAATGGCAGTTTGAAAAACTATAAAAAAATGTAAAAGAGTGTTACACAAACAAAAATTCTAAAGATTACATCAAAAAGTTCATGCATATACCTTTCTAAATATTGCGAAGGCTACGCTGCATCCTATCATCTTAACTGATATTGTAATGGCGTTAAAGTAGGTAAACTGCTCTAATGTAACATTGAATTTGGTGCGCAAGAACAAATAGAATACGCCAAATTCACCGTCTGTTGAATTTGAAGATTTTGTTAATCAAAAACTTGCTAAATATTATTAAATCCTTGATACTAACACATTATTAAATGGCTTACCATCAGTACCGAGATGGTGCAACCAATAATAGCGCGTCCATAATTTGGACGACGCGCCACACAGGTCTTAACGAGATCCCTAATTAAGCGCACGTCAAAGAAGCTCTTAGCTTTATGCTGCAACGTAAATATTATATTATTAAAATACATTAAATCTAAAATCGCAAATCTAATGCTCGCATACCGACAATGTGGTCTTCTCAACATCCAAGCTTTCCTCTATGAAAATTATGATATACAATAAAGCGATGAACACCAGCATACCAGCAGTCGCACAAACTGTGGCCACATTCGTGAGGCGTAACAAGTAACTACTAATTACATTGCCGAACACTACACCCACGCCCATAACCATATCCACATAGAACATACTGAAAACAAATCAAAACAAAAAATAGATAATTTCTTCCATCAAACAAACTTCTAATCCCGTACTTACCGTTTTGGCTTACTATCCGCATCGGAGACATCAGATATATAGCAAAAGATGACAGCCATCATTGTGCAATTGCCGCCGACAAAGGTAGATGGTAAGCCGCCCAATAGATAGAACCAGGGGTTAAGTGCAAGTGTTTTCGAAAAGTATACCAATACTGTGGTTATAGTGTAACCAATGAAGGAGGCTATGGGTTGTGAGTAAGTTTGTAATCAGTAAGACAATAAAAAACGGTGTTTTATGTACCTCCAAAAGTGGCCAGTAACACTGGTCGACGCCCAAATTTGTCTGACCAGGGTCCCACGAATAACACAAGCAGTCCTGGCCATACGTTATGTAATATGGAATTTATCATGCTAATACGAGCAACATAAGGTTGAATACGGTTTTCGAGTATCTGAAAAAGTTTATAAAATTAATGAATAGGAAATTAATTATTTTGGAAATTTTCTTTATAAAAATTTTGACATTTTATAATAACACTTTATTGATATAAATATAATAATAATTTTCTTCAATAACTGATTGCCATTTTAAGGGCAACTCCATAATGCCACGCTCATAAAGACCTTCGTATTAACAAAAAATAGCACAGTTCTCAACCATACAGTATGTACGCTGATAGGGAAATGGCCAGATAGAACCCTCATAACTAGGGAAGCGCCATCCAGTCTTCTTTCACTCAGAAAATTATCAAACATAGATAGATAGGCACAGGTAGTTCTACTTCTTGCTGCAAAGTAAGTGCAATAAGGCGGATTCAAAGGAAATCTCCTAAACATGCTCTTGGCGGTTTTGTCGAGTTATTGTCGATGTATGTATATTAGTTCTTTTTATTTTGAACTATTAACTTTTTTCAATCTCATCATCAAATTTATTTGAAAATACCCTGAAAAAAATTTTATTATTAATCAACAACCGGACCAAGGCATGTACAAATTTTAAATTGAAAATACACGACAATTGTGATTTTTTATCTTCAAATTTCTATAGCTCAGAGGCATTTCATGGCATCGCTTTGACGTTAGGCACATATTCCTCAGAATTGAACACTCTACAAAGTGCCCTTTGCGACAAAGTCGAGACTCACACTGGCGATGTAGTACGGCGCTCTAAACCTGATTTTTCCATGAAATTCGCATTTTTTTTGTATATATCTTGTAAATGACAAGAGCTATAGATAAAATATACATGACAAACTTGCAGGAAATTTTATTTTCTACAAAAAAGGTCCGAGATATTCGGCTTTTTAAATAATGCTTTATGGAATTTTCATAGATAGTATGTAATAAAAAATCTATCTGGGATTGAAAAAAATGGATAGTTAAAAAAAGACACCCTAATATATATATATATATGTGGCCAGGTGTTGCCCACATGGAAGACAATTCCTCTCATATTGCCTAAAGCTGGAGCTTGCTTTCGTTATGGCAGGCCAATTGAAAACTCTCCGGCCTGATACATCTTCTTTTTTTTTTTTACTGGCGTAAAAAAAACTGCAGCGCACCAGTTGTTTCTTCTTTTCGTTACGTGGCGCCAATTGGAGATTCCAAGCGAAACCTGGTTCTCCTCCACTTGGTCCATCCAACGGAGTGGATATCTTCCTCTTCCTCTGCTTCGCCCTGCGGGTGCAGCGTCGAATACTTTCAGAGCTGGAGTGTTTTCGTCCATTCGGACAACATGACCTAGCCAGCGTAGCCGCTGTCTTTTAATTCGCTGAACTATGTCAATGTCGTCGTATATCTCATACAGCTCATCGTTCCATTTCTCTCGAAAACTCGTAGCGTCGACTCATCCGTTGTTGACATCGTCCATGCCTCTGCACCATATAGCAGGTCGGGAATARTGAGTGACTTATAGAGTTTGGTTTTTGTTCGTCGAGAGAGGGCTTTACTTCTCAATTACCTACTCAGTCCGAAGTAGCACCTAATTGCAAGAGTTATTCTGCGCTGGATTTCCAGGCTGAGATTTTTAATGGTGTTTATACTGGTTCCAGAATAGGCGAAATTATCTACGACTTCAAAGTTATGACTGTCAACAGTGAAGTGAGAGCCAAGTCGCGAGTGCGACGAATGTTTGTTTGATGACAGGAGATATTTCGTCTTGCCCTCGTTCACTACCAGACCTATTGGCTCTGCCTCTTTGTGCAATCTGGAGAAAGCAGAACTAACGGCGCGGTTTTTGTACCTGCTCGATTAAGTTTTGTGACGCACCATAGGGAGTCGCCTTGTCTGAAACCTCGTTTGGTATCGAAAGGCTCGGAGAGGTCCTTCCCGATTCTGACGGAGCTTGTTTTGTTACTCAACTCAGTTAGTTACACAGCCGTATTAGTTTTGCGGGGATAGCGGGATGTCAGCTCCTTTTCGTGCTGCCAAAGGCAGATTTGAAATCGACGAAAACGTGGTGTGTGTCGATCGATTACAAGTGTATTTTACAAGATTTGGCGCATGGTGAAAATCTGGTCAGTTGTTGATTTTCCAGGTATAAACCCACATTGGTAACGTTCAATTCAATTAAATTTAAACATTCATACAATACGCTCGATAGAACCTTATATGCGATGTTTAGGAGACTTATCCCACGTTAGTTGGCGCAGATTGTGTGATCTCCCTTTTTGTGGATTGGGCAGAGCACACTTAAATTCCAATCGTTCTGCATACTTTCATCCGATCATATTCTACAAAGAAGCTGGTGCATGCTCCTTATCAGTTCTTCGGCGCCGTGTTTGAATAGCTCGGCCGGCAATCCATCCGCTCCCTCCGCGTTCTTTAGTGCTATTCGAACTTCTTCATGGTCCGGCAATGGAACGTCAGCTCCTTCGTCATGGATTGGGGAATCGGGTGCGCCTTCTCCTTTCCTGGTTCACTGCCATTCAGCAAGCTAGAGCACCTGATACATAGGTGCTGCTAATAGAATTAAATCTGTACGATTTTTAGTTAAATGTAACATTCAAGAGGTGCGTGTATACCATAAATTAATTAGTTAATCATTATCATAAATCATTAGTTTTTGGATTATATCACTGTGAGTGGCGAAACTTTTTTTATTTTGGAAAAAAAGGAAATTCGAGTGTTGATAAAGTATTGCTTTTTGAAGGGGAAAAATACAGTGGAAGCAAAAACTTTGGCACGTTGATGAGTTTCCGGACACTGCTCCAGCAAAACGGCCCATAAAATGTTGGTATGTTAAGGTTAGGTCTAATGAAATAAGCACCGATTTGAAAGCAGTACGACGAAATCATCAAATCAAATATTACACCAAAATATTTCAGATAACCGTAAAGTGAAGTTGTTTGAGATAACATATACTTCAAACATAATTGAGCGTGTACATCATATCACTCACACACAATTTTAGATATGAGAACGTTCTGTACAAAATAGGTGCTGAGTGCGCTCATTTTTTACCAAAAACAACCACGAGTTGATGATGCAGAGCAGTGTTTGGAGATGTTCAAGCGTAAAATATCCAGGTTTTGCATCTATATGTGACAGGGGATGAAACATGGCTCATTACACTCCGAAGTTCAATCTATAGTCATCGGATTGGAGTGTAACAACAGTCAGCTGGCATGGTTATGGCCTCTGTATTTTGGGATTCGCATGGAATAGATTTTATTGATTATTGCCCCCGAAAAAGGAAAGACTATCAACATAGCGTTATTGGACTATTTGAAATACGAGATCGCCGAAAAACGCCGGCATTTAAAGAAAAAGAAATTACTGCTTTACCAAGACCATGCACAGTGTCACAAGTAAGTGAAAAGGACTTGAAAAATCCAGGAATTGATTCTCCAGATTTGGCCCCCAACAACTATTTACTTTTCTCTGATCTCAAAAGAAAATCGGAAGAGCCGATCACCGAAACTGAGGCTTATTAGTTGAGCTAATAATAGATTTTTTTAATGATAAGAACATTTCAGTCCTCTTGTTATATTTTTGTTTACGAATCTACTTTTAGCCTAGACTTGTGCAATCTTGGCTGGTTTATGAATAAATACCTCATTGCACATGTATTTTATTTCATCGTATGAGCTTATACAAATACAAATGTTTCAATGATTTATGAGGTGATTACTTTAAAGACGATTTAATTAGGTCGGTCCGCATTTTTATTTTATACCGTAGAGAAAACATGTCTCTAGAAAACAGCTGCTAACAAAAAACACTTACCTTTGCCTCTGGCGTCTTGGGTATAATCCCGCGCAGTGGTTCACAGTCCGTCTCATTATAATTGTAAACGGCTGTACAAGCTTGATAAAGTTCTTGGTTCAACATCACAGAACCGCCCAACATTAAAGCAATAAACATTAGCAAAAGCGGAAATTCCACGGTCATATGACGTCTACGTTTTGTTTGCTTTGACTCCGGCTTAAGTGGGTCTTCCGCTGATGGCTCCTCTGCAAACTGGTTTTCGTTTGGCGATGTGGTGGGCAAATATGCCGGTGGCAAGCAATTGCCCTCCGTATCGAATGTGAGTTGTTCGAAAGACAAGCCAATGCCATCGGGTGAGTCGAGTATGCTTCGCTCCTTTTGCTCTGTCATTGTTGCAGCAACCATTTTTCGAACGCAGATTGAATTGTTGATTCAATATCTTTATCTTGTATATTGTAGGCTTGAAATTTCGAAATTCAGTATACGTTATTTCGAGGATCTACACTTGGATGAAATTTTTGCACTGCACTCATTTGTATTTGATTCTTAATTACTTTCACACGCACAAATCGGTGCAAGAACCTGTATAATTTCTTAGTTTAGCTGTTACGGAAATTATAATTTAGAATTTCGAGTTCCGCGTTTAGACTTTGACGACCGTAGGCATATGCAAATCTACTGAGCGCAAAGTGTTACTTTTCAGCTTTTCACCTTCCAGTCAGGTGAGACGGAGTTTATCTTAATTCTCACGCAATGGCGCAATTGATGGGCGTTACTATCTTTATTTAAATATAAATCGACGTTAATCTGCATCTTACGAACTTTCCGCTGGTGTGATTTTAAGTGATAAACATAACAGCTTTTGATTATGTAATTTTTGTTTATCATTCCTCATCACTCGAACCAGAAAACATATCCGAATACTTGTATACATATATATATATATATATACATATATATACATACACATATACAGCGCGATCAGAAAATAACAGCAAAAATATATTCAAAGGCATGTAAAGCACCCTCCAAAATGTACATATTTATGGATGCTTCTCTGCTCAGGGATTTGGGTTGCTTCACAGATAATCTAAACTCCGTTAGAAAGTTGAAATTGTAAAAGAAGAGTTTAATGACGTCAAAATAAATGTTTTACGCCAAAAATAACCATGACTGGATACTGCAAGAAGACAATTTTCCGAATCGTAGGAGCAGATGCTATACTCAATGGTTTGTTTTTTTAAGCTGATAACAGTGAACGAAGTAACTGTGAGTCGCTGTATGGTTCAAACCTTGACGCAAATTTTCGACATTCTTATTTTCTAATCTGTACATTTTGCTGTTCACCTATTCTTTAAAGAGTTATATCTGCTTATGGGTTAAACATCATATATTTTTGTATCACATATATTTAAGAGTAAGTATAATCCGAAAATTTAAGTTGATCTGGCAAATAGTCTTGGGCATAGGAGCGTATTTGTAAGCAACTTCGTTTTATACTCTCCCAAAATTTTAAATGCGTTTTTTTTTTCGAAGCGCTGTTTTCAGAGCTGGTGAAGTAAATTTCTCCGAAACAGGTAGATCGATCGGCTTGAATACGACAACATGGATTTCAGTCTTTTCGACTAAACAACTCAAAAAAGGGTCTCTTAAAAAACAAAAACAAACAAATCAAAAGTGCGCGTTTATCTGAATAAAATAGTTTTGTTCACATAACAGTTGTATGTATCACCTAAAATTAATTAATTTAGATATAGGGTTATGTATATATAAATTATCAGGCTGACGAGACGGGTAACTGTCTGCCTGTCTACCCTGCTGAAACTTGGTACACATGTTCCTTGGCATAAAACTAAGGTGGAGTTCGCAGATGGGCGTAATTCGACCAGTGCTACACCTACCAAACACTATTAAAGGAAAACCTAAAAAGTGTCTGAACGAAGCATCAAATTAAGATATCGAACTGTAATTTGACACAGAGGATCGCAGTAGCAAGGCGGAAAATATCGGTCGTATACAATTGAAATTCAAAGATAATCCTGATAACAGTATCTCTGGGTATCAAAAATAAGTTGAATCGCTTCAATACTTCGTTTTGTGTATACCACATATATCAGCAAATATTTGAGTTATCTCAATGAAAATGAGAGACCGCAATTTACTCATAATAGTGTATCTTTGGGGATAATATAGATAAAATTGAGAGAAAAATTCATTAGTCCCAATATACCTAATATCAGGATTTTCGAACATCCAGCTGACTTTACTGCATATGATTGGTGATTGTATGTGAGGTACTTTATGAAACCAGGGAAACAATTTTTACTACGTGGTTTTGGCAGAAATATATACATAAAATCGGGATAATAACAAACGTTATGCCGAATATGTCGGCGAGTGTAGGTATTATATATAAGTATATACATAAAATTGCTTGGATTCCGATCCGATTTGGTAGACGTTTTACATCTTTGAATCGCACACGTTGCAAGAGTATTACTTACTTGTTTCTTTTTGAAACTGTTGTCTTCTCGTCCTTACGCGTACACGTCCATATCAACAGACTTTCTTGGATCAAATCTGATTTTGAGTATATAATAAGTTTAACATTTCACACATATGTGGTTCTTACCCCTTCTTAGTATTTAAAAGGATACACTTTACTAATTTACTTTGAATTCGAATAAGCTTCTGAGTTGCACATTGGAGAATTGTTCCTTCAAAATTAGATTTGAATCATGAAAATGCATTTGCCTTAATCTGAAGCAATGATCGGCTGCAGCTGTCAATAATTATATCCAACTAAATATATTTAAACCTTAATATTATGGTCCACTGACCTACTAACCAGCCAATTAGTTCGTTTCGTTCATCGACTCTCAACACTTTCTCTGGCATCTTTCTTTTATTTTTACTGGTTTGATAATGAAATAGATTAAAAATGTCGCACGTGTGCACTTATCTACGTCATTAGACTTTGTTCTTACCGATAAAATTTTATAATTTAAGAGAAATGAATGAAAAATGCTGACGAAGGATGAGCGAGCTGTTTCTTGAGGTCTCCTCGCTTATTTGATTTTGTACCTTAATAAATGATTTGCATTATAATAGACTACAGTAAGAATGTGTTATTGTTACCAGTATTTTTTAGTTTATTTTGTTTTGGTATGATTTATAGAGCATCTTTCTGTATTTCAAAATATAAACAATAAAGACTGGTAGCTTGCCAATTTGTATAATCTTTTAAATTGCAACTTCGTTGTCTAAGTTATTTAGTGTGCAGCATCTACTGCGTTCAGTATTCAAATCTTATGCTACTGAAAAATATTTTTCGAAGCGATTTTGACAAGAAATACTATATAGTTCATAATAACAATAGGCAATAAAACTGAAGGAAAAATTATCGATTGATGTGCTAAGGGATCTGTGGTGTATTTGAGGTGTCCTGATTAGAAATTTGAATTCAGAAATTTTTCGTCACGTACATTTTTATCGTGATTTTTGTAATGTTTATCATTGCGCCATCTATGGTAGCTTTATGTTAGAATAATGATGTTGGCTAGTCGAAAAAGTCTTTTCGCATCTCTAATCACACTTCAACTTATTTTTTTTGTTTTTCTTATATTTATAATAATAAATGAATAAATCTGTACCATTTTGTGGTCGACTTTACCGAATACGAAAAGACTTTTTCGACTACCAATATTAATATCTCTGCCCCCAAAGCAGTGATATAAAAAGCTTTCCAAAATAATTCCAATATAATTTCCAAGAAAATAAAGATCTGCCAACTCTAATTAATTTTATTAATAAGCTTTATTTTAATTATTTTAAACTTGTTTTTTTTTTATATCTATCTATACATATACATATATCAATAACAAAAACGACTAGAAATTAATTTTAAATTATTAATTTTTTTTATATATACCTTTGAAATAAATTCTTAGCTTTAATTTAACTAAATACTGTTATTTTTATTTTTTGTAACACATTTTAGTAATTAAGTGAGCAAAGAATACCTTTTTGCGTAATAAATAAAACAATATACAGATGAAAATAAATCTGCACTTAGCTACTAATTTCCTCAGATCTAAGACTATGCTGTTGGAATATTTTCAGATTTTTACTTTTCTCCATTTTCGGCTTCAGTTGCCTTTACTCTTTTAGCCATACGTCGTTCATAATAATTTATCAAACTGTTGAAAAGAAATGATAAAATGAGAGAAATAAAATACAACAGTTAATGCAATAATTAGTCTCTCACGCTAATCGAGATAGATACTATATAAATTGTGACACAAAAAAAAAAAACGCAAAATATTGGCTTGCCCCACCAAATGTAATAACTGATGGCAACTATTTTTCCAGTCCTCGAAACACTTCGCGGTGGCCTTTAGTTTCTTCAGCGAATTCTATTTCATCTTATAGATCGACGGAAAACGGGAAATCATTCGTGAGCGTTGTCGAGCCCCCTCTTGCCGACGACATGACTCAGCCGCTGTCTCTTAATTCGCTGAACTAAGTCAAAGGTCATACAGCTCATCGTTTCATCAAAGGATCATAAATCTTCCGCAGAACTTTTCTATCGAAAACGTAACGTAACGTTGACTAACGACGACTGTTGGCATCGTCGATGCCTCTGCACCAGCGAATTTTAGTTTGAAATATCAAATCTAAGCCAAATCCTTTATCCATTGTAAAAATAATAATATAAATGATCAGGAGGACGAGACGCGTTGAATTCTGAGTGACGGTCTGTCAGTCCGTCCGTCCACCCTCATCTTTAATTATTATGCCCGAGAATTGTCGAAATCGGACGATAACTTTTCAAGAAATAAAACACCACATTTGTGGACCCAGTGTATATGGCTGATTTTTTTTACCGAACATATTGGTCAATCTATGTGTTTTAGTATTAAAATTCGGGAAGACTATTTTTGAGGTGATGAGAGCATTCCTTTTGCCAAAAATTAGTAAAACCAGGTCAATACTTCCCTCAGAGTCCATTTATCGACCAATATGTAGGAATTTTTACTGGGAATGTGTCAAATCAATGGTTGAGAAAAGTTTGGAACTTAATTACAATGAGGTGGTTTACATCTAACTAGGCTGCGCAATGATAATGGATTTTGTGAGCTGTTATTTTCATAGTTGAAATGCGTCCAGATAATTTTCCGTACATATCAATTTTTAATGCTGTTCGACTAAAATATCGAACCCTGTCCTGTCGTTTCCGGCATTATCTTTAGCATTTTTAATTTTTACCGCTCTATGGGGAGTGAGTATTTATTTCATTAACTTACATCATAACACAGAAGCACTCCAGATATAGGCCCGTGGAAATGAAATTGAAAAGTCCAGGATAAAAATTCAATGTTTGGTTGTAGATGAAGGTGTACAAGGGCGCAGACAACAACGGTGATATAGTCTGTGCGCACGATACTAGTGAGTAGATTTTACCTAGAAAAATGTACGTCCATAATTAGTTAGAAGATCCGTTGGATTTCGAAGCATTTTTATTACCGAGTTCATTTGAGGGCACCGCCACTGCAACGATTGCTTGCAACATCGGAATCGTTATGCCTGACATAAGTCCAAAAGAGGAAGCCATATACATTTGCCAGAATTCTTGCGCCAAACCACGTGTAAGATAATCAAGGACACAACCGGCTAAACCCATCATAGCAATGGTGGAATAAGGAAGTTTGAAAAACTGAAATGAAATAGGA